GCTTACAGAATGAACATAGATGTCAGTCATTCCGCATTTACTGAGCACCTACTGTGTGCTACACACAAAACCCTTAGGGCTCAAAGAGCTGACACTCTTAACAGGGAGAGACAAAAAAAAGACCAAGAAAGCACATTAATAGGAAAGAAGGTTCACATAGTATGGGGTAAAAGGGACGGGGTAAGGACTATGGTGCAGTTTCAAATAGAGGGTCAGGAAAGGTTCTGTTGAGCAAGTGAACGTGAGCAGACAGTGGTAGGAGGTAAGGGAGAGAGGCCCGCAGACCACTGGACAGCATGACCTTCATTCTGTCCTTTCTGCGGGAATGGGTCATGCTGTGACCATAACTTCATTCCCTCAATAAACAGTTCTTTAAGCAAAAAAGAATGAGGCATAGTTCATGATCCCAGACAGAGCTTTACTTATCCACCCTATCTCCAAAGTCTAGAGCAATGCAAGTACTCAATAAATACTGTTAAATCAATTAACTCATCCATAATCAATAACTTATTTAATGTATGAGAAGCAGAGACACCCCCTCATAACTTCCCAGTAAGTACTAAACTTGATACAATGTGTCATATAAACAATGGCTCGGAGGCTTTTTTCACATGTAAAAGAACCACTCAAAATACGATCAGAACATGATTTCAGTTTTGCGTTTTCCCTTCCAGCCCCATCTGTACACATAACTTACGCAGGTATGATTTAGTGTTTTGTAATCATAAACATAGGAGTTTGACATAAGGGGGCCTTTTTTAATGCTTGTCATATTGTAGGCATTTTTCTCTAACATTTCACAGTCTTTCCGATTATAACTGATAATGGATGCATGAGGTCAGTTTTCAGACTGCCAGCTAAAGCAATATTGCTTCCAATGTCCCTGAATTAAGACAAGCCAGGTAACGGGTAGGCTCCATAGCTCAGTGGTTAGAGCACTGGTCTTGTAAACCAGGGGTCGCGAGTTCGATCCTCGCTGGGGCCTCTTGTTCGCTTCTGCCTTTTTTTCTTTTTTAATTCTTCCCTTCACGGAATAGAAATTCCAAAATAGAAAAGCGATTTCTGAAAAAGTTAGTTCTGGCAGGAGTAAAAATTACTCCTCCTGAAATGCAAATGATGGGCGTCCTTCTAGTGAGTTAGAGGTGACCCGGAAGAGAAAATCCTGGACCGACACAAAGAGCAGGAAAAAGAAGGAAAGCCGTCCTCGGCGACCCCAGCGCTACCGGGACGTGGGACGCGGTCTTCGACAAAGGAGACGCAGGGCTCGTTTTCAACGCCCTGCAAGTCGAGCCCCAAACCCGCATTAGGAGAAGCTCGGG